CATGACTTAACATCTGTTTACCATTTTTCAGATTTGCCTTCCAGAACAGAATTGTGCTAAAAGTGGGAATCAATTTGTAAAATGATCCTGCAAGGTATTGTAAGCAATTCATTACATGTTTATGGCCTTTTATACAAAAACATCGACTTGAGAATTGAGAATCTGATTCGACGTCTTTTGAAAATGTCGTTGATATTCATTTAAATTAAATTAAATTACTTTCTTTGATTGCTTTGCTCATGTCCTTATTGTCAGTAAAGGCAAATGATTGAAGAATGATAATGTAGGCTTCAGGTTACAGGTGTAGGGGACGCATGTAATAGCGGGGTTTTTAGCGCGGATCTGATCGGATGTAGTTGTGTCTGCAGGTCTAACTATAGGTGGTGAGGGTTCGGATGTGGTATGATGTGGATGTGTCTACGGGTCTAACTATAGGAGGTGAAGGTTCGGGTGTGTTATGCTGTAGATGTGTCTACGGGTCTAACTATAGGAGGTGAGGGTTCGGATGTGTATGATGTAGATGTGTCTACGGGTCTAACTATAGGAGGTGAGGGTTCGGATGTGGTATGATGTGGATGTGTCTGTGGGTGTAACTATAGGAGGTGAAGGTTTGGGTGTGCTATGGTGTGGATGTTCCTGTGGGTGTAACTATAGGAGGTGAAGGTTCGGGTGTGGTATGATGTAGATGTGTCTACGGGTGTAACTATAGGAGGTGAAGGTGTGGGTGTGGTATGATGTGGATGTGTCTGCTGGTCTAACTATGGGAGGTGAGGGTTCGGGTGTGGTATGATGTGGATGTGTCTACGGGTGTAACTATAGGAGGTGAAGGTGTGGGTGTATTATGATGTAGATGTTTCTAGGGGTCTAAATATGGGAGGTGATGGTTCGGGTGTGGTATGATGTAGATGTGTCTACGGGTCTAACTATAGGAGGTGAAGGTTCAGGTGTGGTATGATGTGGATGTGTCTGTGGGTCTAACTATAGGAGGTGAAGGTTCGCGTGCGGTATGATGTGGATGTGTCTATGGGTGTAACTATAGGAGGTGAAGGTTCGGGTGTGCTATGATGTGGATGTGTCTTCGGGTCTAACTATAGGTGAAGGTTCGGGTGTGCTATGATGTGGATGTGTCTGTGGGTGTAACTATAGGAGGTGAAGGTTCGGTGTGGTATGATGTAGATGTGTCTACGGGTGTAACTATAGGAGGTGAGGGTTCGGGTGTGGTATGATGTAGATGTGTCTACGGGTGTAACTATAGGAGGTGAAGGTTCGGGTGTGGTATGATGTGGATGTGTCTGCTGGTCTAACTATAGGAGGTGAAGGTTCGGGTGCGGTATGATGTATTGTGTCTATGGGTGTAACTATAGGAGGTGAAGGTTCGGGTGTGGTATGATGTGGATGTGTCTGCTGGTGTAACTATAGGAGGTGAAGGTTCGGGTGCGGTATGATGTGGATGTGTCTACTGGGTGTAACTATAGGAGGTGAAGGTTCGGGTGTGGTATGATGTAGATGTGTCTACGGGTCTAACTATAGGAGGTGAAGGTTCGGGTGTGGTATGATGTGGATGTGTCTGTGGGTGTAACTATAGGAGGTGAAAGGTGTGGTATGATGGATGTGTCTGTGGGTCTAACTATAGGAGGTGAAGGTTTGGGTGTGGTATGTGGTATGATGTGTGATGTGTGGATGTGTCTGGGGTGTAACTATAGGAGGTGAAAGGTTCAGGTGCGGTATGATGTGGATGTGTCTACGGGTGTAACTATAGGAGGTGAAGGTTCGGGTGTGGTATGGTATGATGTGGATGTGTCTAACTATAGGTGTAACTATAGGAGGTGAAGGTTCGGGTGTAACTATAGGATGATGTATGATGTGTGTGCTGGGTCTAACTATAGGAGGTGAAGGTTCGGGTGTGGTATGATGTGGATGTGTCTACGGGTCTAACTATAGGAGGTGAAGGTTCGGGTGTGGTATGATGTGGATGTGTCTACGGGTCTAACTATAGGAGGTGAAGGTTCGGGTGTGGTATGATGTAGATGTGTCTACGGGTCTAACTATAGGAGGTGAAGGTTCGGGTGTGGTATGATGTAGATGTGTCTATGGGTGTAACTATAGGAGGTGAAGGTTCTGGTGTGGTATGATGTGGATGTGCCTTTGGGTGTAACTATAGGAGGTCAAGTTTCGGGTGTGGTATGATGTAGATGTGTGTACGGGTCTAACTATAGGAGGTGAAGGTTCGGGTGTGGTATGATGTAGATGTGTGTACGGGTCTAACTATAGGAGGTGAAGGTTCGGGTGTGGTATGATGTAGATGTGTCTACTGGTCTAACTATAGGAGGTGAAGGTTCGGGTGTGGTATGATGTGGGATGTGTCTACTGGTGTAACTAGAGGAGATGAAGGTTCGGGTGTGGTATGATGTAGATGTGTCTGCTGGTGTAACTATAGGAGGTGAAGGGATGGGTGTATTATGATGTAGATGTTTCTAGGGGTCTAACTATAGGAGGTGATGGTTCGGGTGTGGTATGATGTAGATGTGTCTACGGGTGTAACTAGAGGAGATGAAGGTTCGGGTGTAGTATGATGTGTGATATGATGTGGATGTGTCTCTGGGTCTCTGTGAAGTTGGGTGCGTGGTGGCTATGGTGATACTTGTGCTAGTCTGACTTTGGCATTTACATGTAATTATATATAATTATGTGTGTCTGCGGGCCCAGATATAACAGGTCGTGCAGATGCGGGTCGTGTATTTGCAAGTGAGAGCGGAGTCTCATACTGGCATATGTAGGGGTCTGTTGACAACAGATGTGCCCAGTCGGGTCCAGTCGGGTTATTCCTCCACTAACATCAAGCCTCGGCTGGAGGGTAGTGATGTCGGTGTCCAACACGTAACGCCGATTCATTTTACAGTTTTCGCTTTAATTTCGTGTACTATGACGGCCGTTTCAGAAGACAGGTTATAAAAGCTTAAAAATAGTGAACACTTTGATTTGAAGATGGAACACATTTATCAATTACATGTTTGTAAGTTTAACAACTTCCTTCTTTGACTGGCAGTTTAGAAGTTGGCAAGTACAATATTGACAAATTTTATGGATGACAACTTCTTTCATTTCGTGAGTGCGACGTTTTGAAACGTTTCGAAGTTGTTATCCATAAAGTTTGTCAATATTACGAACTTCCGCAAAGTAATGTAATACTATGTGATAAACAGGTGCACAGAACTACTTCCAATATGGAGTCTGGCTAATGCGGGCCGAGCAGAACTTGTTGGACAGAGACGAGCCGATTGCTTTCACTCGGATTGATTAGCTTAGGCACTCAATTGAAATCGCAGTCTCGTCGCCAGTGGGAAGTTTTCAATTACGTGAAACTAATCGCGCTCGGCCGAAAACGGTGAAAAGATCATATATGTACTTGTCACCTTTTTAGTCGTGATTTAACCTTTAAGGCATGACTCAAACCACTGGTCTTGCGAGACGCCGGAATCGTCAACGGAGTTGGAGATAAAGTTCAATCAGCTGTTTTATCAGGTCCGTGATTATCTTTAGGGGTGAATTTTACTCTAACTATATCAAATGATAATATTACGTTATCAGTCAGACAGTTGCGAATGGGAGGCAAGTGTTAGCGATCGATCAGACACGTCTTATATAGTGGTGATAGGTAAGGGAATAACGACAGGCAGGAAGTGGCACAAGGAAGTCGTTGAGGCGCAGGCGCGTGTCAGGTACCTGTGAACTCAACATCCGGATTACAGTTGGTCTCCAGCAACTCATAATTGTAGGAAGAGACGCCAAACGGGACCAGATGGTCATTGGTCATGCTTGCTGACGTGGTTCATGTATGTCTCGTAGCCCTATTGCGTAGATCGATGATCATACTCTCAATCACTGGATTGACTGGTGCAGACTCCATTATTTACAGACAGACATCTTATTGCTGGACAATTGCTGAGCTGTGGCATTAAACAACCAGCAAACAGACTGACTGACTGAGTTTGGTTTTACGCCGCTTTTAGCAATATTCCAGCAACATCACGGCAGGGGACACCAGAAATAGATTTCACACATTGTACCCATGTGGGAATTCGAACCCGGGTCTTCGGCGTGACGAGCCAACGCTTTAACCACTAGGCTACCCCACCGCCCCTACCAGCAAACAGAAACCTGGGAATCCGGTTCAATTCAAGATATCAGGAATTCTTTTCAAGATATCATCAATATGCTTCATCATATCCTTAATTCAGTTCCGATATCATGAATTTTATTGCAGATATCAATAATTATCACTGTTCGAGATATCATTCAAGAAATCTTTAAAACAATTTAAGATATCAGTATTTCTTAGGAAATGTGAAAACGGCTTGCAATACATTCGCCCCTTTATGGGCAGATCATGATTTTTTTTTTAAACAGACCATTATCATATATATCAAGCAGTAAGTTAATTAGTTTGTGTGGCGTGTCATTTGTCGTCTTACCTCGTCAGTATTAACCTTTCTTCTTTTATAGTCCTCGTCATTACTGACTTGTTAGAATCTTAGTCTTGGTAGAAAAACTCCTAGCTCCCATGATTCAGTGGGGGTAATAACGGTTTCTAGCCCGATTGCTTTGTAGCATGGAGAATGCTCTATAAGACGATCGAATATGTTATTTGTGGGCTGATTGTCTGCAATTTGACCATTGCCAGGAAATGGCAGGGCACCTGACCCAGTGCTTGTATCAGGCTTGTTGGTATTGTAAGTCCGTGACTATCGGTTTAAAAGTGTAAAAGTAAGACCGACCGCGACGCGAAGCGGGAGGTCTTACTTTTACACTACTTCCCGCGCGTTGAGGTCCTTACTTTTCCAATTATGACCGAGTACTTTATCCAACATCTAAACCGTCAATTCCATTAAATACATTTTTATAACAATAAAAAGCATTATAATTAATCAAGGTAGAGACGAACGTACCGCTGCATTGTTTATACCGCGCTGGATGGTACATCGAGGAGCATGCAGGAACGTGCTGCACGTGAAATTTGTGTCGTAGTACCTCGTCACGTGGCATGTTAGAACATTCATTTGAGGGAAACACCTGAATATGGAAGGTTCGGACAGCGATCGTGAATTATTCATTACACGGTCTTATTTGCGAGCAACCAGGTACCTTTCTCATCTCTTTTTTGCACATTAAGATGTTAGGACAGACTGAAAATAACAAGTATTCAAACTTTAAAAATGATGCATTTAGTCCAGTTTGTTAGTAGACTTTGAAAAAATAGCACTAAATACTGAACTGTTCAATTTAAGAGATGTGTTTATGCAGCATGATTAATAATCAATATTTATAGGTTTTCGTCTGTACAATATTGGAATCTGTGTGATAATAGAATTGTTTCCCAGTTTATACGTAATCAATTAATTCATTTAACTTAGGTCATCGCAGTGAAGCCGTTCGTGTGTACAAGACGTCTTCAGATGAGCAAAGGGCATCAGTTTCCGATCTATTAAGCGCAATCCCCGACAGAAAAAGAAAAGTTGGTTCAGAACTAACTGTTCAAACTCTTGAAACGGAAGGAAATGATTCGGATAGCTCGGAAAAGTGCAAAGAAAAACGATATTTTGTGACTATCAACTGAAATAAAGAATTGTTGAAAGATAGTTTTGTTATTCATGTGGGATTTCTCAAGAGGAAAGAGTTCCTTACGTACCCCCGGCCTATCTTATAAGGTACTTTTCATTACTTGTATATCTTTGTAATTTTTTTAAAAAAATAGGGTATGAGTTCCTCCCGTTCCCCCCTCCCAAATAATATGTATAAATATTCTAGAATTATAAACAAAACTTAACACAACAATTACTAGAGAACTCACAAAATGATTAAAAGTCCAAAATTTAAGTAAGGGTTAGGTTTAGGGTTAGGTTTAGAGTTTGGTTTAGAGTTGGGGGAACGGAAGGAACGCTTTCCAAAAATAGTTACGGGGTAGGTAAGGAACTCTTACCTCACAAGAAATCCTGTATTCACAAAACAATCCTAGAGCTAGGATGTCCTAACTTGGTTCTGTCTATGTATTTGAACTGAAGCTATGATTAATTAGGACATCAATGCACAAGGGTCGCTTTGGGAATAGCTACCCAGGTATCTGGACCAGATACGAAAGTATCTCCGGTAGGAGGTCTTACTTTCTTACTTTAAGAGGTAAGACCTGCTACCGGGTCTTACGTTTCACAAGTCAGACCTCCAGCTCAGCAAGAGGTCATTACATGAAATTCGGGTACCTCCAGTATAATGGGACATATCACAGATAGGTTTATATTTACGATACCAGACCACTTGTGTCCAATCTGTTTGTCTTCGACAATAAAACATCAGTTCCCCATCTATTTCGCAAGTACACTATACTTCTCAAGCGGACGACTTAAACTGTACTTTGTCTATGTTGTCTTTGTGAATTGATTTACAAAGTGTATTTCAGTACCTACTCGATTGAGTGAGTTAGTGTGGTTTTACGCCGTTTTAAGCAATATCAGATGCTTGTCGACTAACAGGATTGGATGGTCAGACTTGGTTGGCACATATCATCGTACCTACATTGCGAAAATGTCCTCTATCACTTTTTGCCTAGAATTCGTTCAGAATAATAAAGGTGCGATAAAGCACTGACTCCGGGTGTTTACAAAAAGAGGACGCATGTCCCACCCTAACAGTAACACACTTTGCGATAAAAAGTAAATCTGTACATGATATAGTCTTATTCGTGCGATAGTTTAGTTTAGTTTTACGCCGCACTCAGCAATATTCCAGCTATGGCGGTTGTGCAATAGTCTTTTTTAAGATATGATAATTATTGAATAATAAAATGGATTTTTTTTAACTGATATCTGTATGATCAGGTGTTAGCTATTAACAAAGATGATAATGGTCAACATGTTCCTTGAAGCAACAGTGAGTTCCAGCAATATTCCAGCAAAATCACGGCAGGGGACACCAGAAATGGGCTTCACACATTGTACCCATGTGGGGAATCGAACCCGGGTCTTCCGCGTGACGAGCAAACGCTTTAACCACTAGGTTACCCCTCCGTCCCTTGAAGCAACAGGGCGTCGTAAATAAATAAAAATGGAAGTGCCACAAATGAATTAAGTTACTTCATCAGAACTGATCTAGCATTTCCTTGTATAGTCCTTCATGCGTTATATCTCCAGTACAATGACAGTTTTTTTTTTATAAAAATACAAAGTATCCGTCCCTCGTGATTGTCACTCGCGACTAATAGTCCTGAGTAATAATAATATCTCTGAGAAAATGCAATTTGGTACTTCCTAGCTAACCATAAGAAAATGGTTCATGTGTCAAGAATCCGTAAAGGATCTTTAAATCCGAGACTTGATCCGTTACGAAGCATTGCCGTTTCTATCAAGTATCTCGACGCCACAGTATTGAGTATTTCGCAGTGTACAATTTCTTTTCGTTTGATCTTGAAAGCTTTGCAATAAAACATAATTAAAAAGCTTCTAAAGAGGCGATGCAGAACAAATAAAATGCTTTTAGAGAATGAAGGAAACAGGCAGTTTCATGTAAAGATAAATGGACGTGTGCACATTAAATGTTCGCGACATTTTATGCCGTCCTGAAACGCCATTCAAATTTTTTACTTGAATAACAAAAAATGAAAAACATTCTCTTAACGATACCACTCAAGCACATGATGTTGTTATGCAGGCATCGTTGCCCGGATACATGGATACCTTTTCCATCATTATGTCAAACATCCACACGCACCTTAAAGTGCTCAGTCTTCAAAGTTTTGGCTACAGGTTCAACACGACATGTTTGTACTCTTGTGGTTAATTAAAAGCATTCGTTCTTCACTCAGAAGTCGGGTTCGAATCCCACGATGTAACAATGCGTACAGCACATTAATTGTTAGACATTCCTCTGTTAGTTACCATATAGTAATACTATGACAAGGGGTCATAGCGAGCTGGTTATCGATGGGAGGAATCGATCGAGGTCTTTGACGTACATGTACGAGCGAATACATTATACTCCTGAACAAACATAATGCACCTTATTAAAATTATGATACTAACCGAAAAGAAACATCGAAAATTAAGATAGCTAGATATTGACCTGTGTCGTTTTAACAATCTAAGATATTAACTTTAAAAGAAGAACCGGACAAACAACAGGTATTGGGACTGCCAACTTTGAACTAATGGCACCAAGCGCAACGAAGAATGAGGTGAGGTGAGGTGTAATTGGGTTTAACGTCGTGCTTGAGAATATTTCTCTCATATGACGACGTGCATGTGTGTGTATGTGTATGTGCGGCTGCTTGTACTAGCCCAGACTGAAGCTGGTTTTATAGTGCTAGCCCACTGAGATACCATGCCGCAGTGAAGCATGAATACCCCACTCAGACACATTATACTGACTCCGAGCCGACCAGTCCTTGTTGTACCCATTAATGACGAAGAATGACATATCGTATAATAATAATGTATCTATAAAGCACCTAATATCCACTGTAGACATGCTCAGTAGCGCTGTGACAATATTGGGGAAGGAAATATTTCATATAGGTTTTACAGAAAGTAGTGAACAGACGGGTCTTTAGCAGAGATTGAAAAGTTTCTTTCAATGCAGTGCTCCTGGTTTCCTTTGGGAGAAAGTTCCACAGTTCAGGGCTGGCAATGGAGAAGTCTCGGTCAGACAGTTGGTTTGGAGATATGCGTTGGGTGAGGAGAGAGTCAGAGGAGGATCGGAGACTTCGTTGAGGTACATACAGAGACGAGTTGTTTGAGATAGTCGGGAAAGTTATCGTTGAAGAGGCAGCCATGAGTCAGAATGCCTCAGTCAGTAAGGATTTTGAAGGAAATTCTTGCAGAGTTTGGGAGCCAGTGTAGAGACACTAAATTACACACAACAACCACAACAACAACAAAACAAACACCGAACGCACACGCACATACATTCACACACACCGAAAACACATACATTTCACACACGTATGTAGATGTGTCTATATATGAGCAATGATCTTGAACGCGGCATGACACATGCCATTATCATTCCATTCAACAACCATTTGGACGTGTACTAAATAAATATACCCCGAGTATACTGTACACTCGGTACATATGTGCATGGAAGCATGCTATATACAGTGTGTATATATGTCGCTTCATTTAGGGCTTTTATATTACCGGACCCGTGAAGGTCCGGGTTAGAATATTGATCTTCAGTAACCAATGCTTAACGTTAGTGGTGACTAACGGGATCGGGTGGTCAGGTTCGCTGACTTGGTTGACACATGTCATCGGTTCCCAATTGCGCAGATCGATGCTCATGCTGTTGATCACTGGATTGTCTGGTCCAGACTCGATTATTTAGACCGCCGCCATATAGCTGGAATATTGCTGAGTGCGGCGTTAACCTAAACTGACTCACTCACTCTTGCATTACTGAAAGGGCTGTGGGAAGATATCATGGTTGAGGGTCTATGAGTCAGTGAACTTCAGATGTGTATCCATGTTCAAAGCAAAAGAAATGAACGTGGGTGTCACAAAAGTGCCATAATTTCCAAGAAAAATTTAATTCAGAATTAAAAAAATGTCAAATGAATAATGAAATATGAAATAGAGGGTGATGTTAGAAATGAAGTTATAACTCTCAGAGGAATTGCGTCAAAACGTCTACCGAATGTCGCAATCCAATCTTCCCATAAAAGATTTTATACATGTACGTTCATTGCACAGACCTTTTACTGCCATAGTCACATAGAAAATTACTCATCGATATCAACATAAAAAAAACGTATTCAATTTAAACCGTTAGATCTCCTATATTGAGTATAAAAATTATCCACAGTCAATATACACTGTACTCTGCTTATTAAACGTTTTATTTCATTTTTTCATAAAATTACATTAAAAGTGACAGTATATATCAAACATGGTATTTCTCTATTCGGAAGGAATGTTGACAATTCAGATGTATCCGGATGCGTACAGCTTCGTGCTTACATATTGTCCTATATATACTCATGCCAATGATGGTTGTCACCCCCTCCCTCCCCAACTTAAACCCACACCCCCTCTCCAATAAAAATTTTTGAAGGGGGTGACAACCATTATTGGCATGAGTATATTAGGGCCGGGGATCTTAAAACCATAAAAAACAAACATTTTTTACTTTGACTACACGTAGGTTACGAAGGACAGTGCAAATTGTGCATGTGGAGACCTCAGTGTATCAATTCCAAAAACGTGTTCAAGCTGTTTGTTGCCAATGTTAGATTAAAGTAAAATGTGTGTTTTATTCATTGACTTGAATCTGAATGCCACGAGATTTAACTTGTAATTTCCTGTTAAAGTAACCCATTCTTAACCGCTCACAATCACACTGATAAATGTTTAATCAGTGTCAGTCATTTCGTTAGTACAGAAAAGTAACTGGCTTTGATTGCAAGCTGACACTTCCTTAAATTGAAGCCCTAGGGGATACATTTAGGTCGAGAATGAAACATTTCATCTGGCTTCAATTCTGTTTCCATTTAGCATCCACAGAGTCTTTTGTTAGAACAGTGCGCTTTTCTCGAAACCGATTCCACAGAATAATAGTGACGTTTTATCAATGAAGGTTTTTGGATAA